TTGTAAGTATTTGTGTTTCAAGAGATGACAATATCTTGTAGCGCTCAATCTTGGGTTTTAGGAATAATTTCTACGTAAATGGATCCGTTAATACAATTTCACAGTATTGATAAAATGCCAAGTGCTATACTGTAATAAATGACTGCATAATTGCACTTTAAGGTAACATTTGAAGAGTTTGTGAAAGTCTCAATAGTGGATTGAAAGAAATGGCGTTAGGATAGTGAAGGGTGGTGTCCCGAGTTCCTGGTGCTGATGGTTAGAGTAGGTAAGCCTTGATCTCAAAGTTAGGCACCGAGCAGAGCAGATAGATATCAGCAGAATTTCACCTTCTGAGGAATTCAAATGAAGGATCTTGTAAGATCACCCATTAGATTGCTTCTGTCCTTGCAGTGGTGAAGTATGTTTTTCCTTTGCTGGAGTGAGAGAAGTGAGAGGCTTCCAGCTCTGCCAAATGTGAAGGAGGGTTGAGAATATGTGGTTGTGCTGCTGTAGGAAGCACAAGATGGAGAGTTGTCTTGTTCCCTTGCAAGATTGTGCTGAAGCAGCATTTAGTCTCTGAGGTTTAACAGTGTAATTTTATTTGGATGGAATTGTCTTATTCGGTGTCTCTTCTAAGTTATTTTTGTAGTGTCTCCTGTGGGCTACTTGTGCCCTGGGCTGAAAGAGAAAAGAGGAAGGCAGTTTGTTCACAGGGTCATCAGGTGCACTTGAAGTAGCATCAGGTAGTTTTCAAGTGGCTAAACACAATTCATTTAATAAAATGCTCCCCCAGGTTTGTTTTTTTTCCTAAACATCTCCCTGTCTAAAATGTGCAGAGCTCCTATATAAGATTCAATTAACATCTTCACAAAAAGTCACGATAATGGAGAAGCCTTAGGCAACTTATGCAAAGATCTGATGGTATCTTCCACTATTCTGTTCTGCTGTTACTGGTAACAAATTAAATTATTTGTTTTTCTCCCCAAGTTGAGTCTGTCTTTGCCCATGACCTTAAGTGCTGAGCAAACCCTCCCTATCCTTTGTCTAAGCCCATGAGCTCTTGTTGTATTTTCTTCTCCTCATTCAGCCAGGGGCAGCAGGGGGATACAAGTGAGCGAACAGGCCTCGTGCTGCTTAGTTGTCCTCTGGGCTTAAACCGTCACAACTTTTAATTGTATAGCTCGTAAACTTTTTTTTTAAATCTTATGGGACATTAAAGATCTTTAATAACGTTAATTTTCTTTCCTAATTTGTCTTTCATTTTATTTCCTAATCACGTGAAAACAAGAAATCAAATATTAGTGAAGACTAGCAGACTAATGCAGCTGAAGTTGGGGATTTCAGTGTGCATGAGAGGGAGACTTGCTATGAAATAAAGAATATTACTGTTTTGAGCGTTGGAATGGGTACATCAAGAAATGTAGACTCATTAGACTTTTTGCCTCGATCATATTTTAACAAACTGGCCTATTCTTTTTCTGTGTCTTTAGGTAATAGGGCAGTAAGTCTCTGCTTGCATTTAAAAAAAAAAAGACATTTCTGGGGAGTTTCCACAATCTAAATAATATATGGAGTCACATTAGCCAAGAGTTTGCATGATGGATGCTGTAGATTAAGGGAAGGACAGTGCGTTCCGTGTGAAGTAGACATTCTCAGCTGCTGTTTGGAGTCTTCATTAAATTGCTGGAGAGGGTATGCCTTCCTAATATTATGCACTCAATTTTAAAACTGTTTGAGGCATGATCCAATGAAAGGAACGTAATGTATTGGTAGTGAATTAAAATTCAAATTGTCCTTAATTCATACCGTGTGTCATACCCCTCATGGTTATATTCTGCTACTAATGTTGCATAACTGTTGGTTGAAACTAATGCTGTACTTTAAATTCCATAGTAATCCCTTTCTGGGGTAATTAGTTTTCAAGTGAAAGACAAAAAGGATTCTTAATTTAGGTGTTTATTACTAAGGATAAAACATGAGATTTACAGCAAAGTCTAATGCTCTATTCACAGGTATCAACTCTTCTATTTTATTTGTCTTCTGTTCTGCAGCAATATGTTTGGAGGAGTGGGGGAGGGAAGGAGTGTATGTCAGTGTTCTCAAAATTAATACCAGGAGGTTTTTATTTGTATCTATTCACAAAAATGTGTCCAAATACAGCTAAAAGGTATATCTGGAATGACAGGTAAAAGCAGTATTTAAAATCAGATCTCATACTGTTAATTCTTTCTTTTATCCTGCCTGCATCAGTGAATCTTTCCAGAATAACGTCACACCAGAGACTTTATTGAATAGCATTTTTAAAAGTTCCCAGCTAGTTTTGTTACTAAACACGCTTGTGTTATGCATGGCAACTTACTTATGGTTACTTATTGGTAAACAAGCCAGTCTGGGGTCACTCTTAAATTGTTACCCCAGAAGGGCTTGATCCCTGGATGTGAGAATAGGCAAATCTTGTTATGGATAGGAGGATGTTCAGCTTCTGCAGGACAGGGCAGTGGGAATGCCTTGCAGGGGGGAGGGTGTCCCAAAAAAAATCCTATAAGCCTTCCTCTTTGTGCTAAAAGGTTCCCCTTTGAAGATTAATCTTAAATGTTTTGATATATTTGTACTTCAGATGGTGTAGTGGTTTATAAACACGGTAGTCCTGATCACTTGGCTGGCTTTTGTTTCATACCAACTCACTGATCTGAGCTTAGTAAAATAACATCTTCTGTAAAACCATAACAAAAGGCAAGGCTGGACACGAGAGATTTCACATTACAATAGTAGTTCCTGTGGCCATCCCAGCAAGATGTTCCTGGTGAATGGCACATTGTGACTGCTTTTCACTGAGAACTGCTAACAGGCTTCTCTCAACTTTTTTACAGCTGTTTTGCCAAAAAGTAGAGGAACAATTGGTGGATTTGTATTACTACTGTAGCTGAAGGTCTGTAGTCAGACCTTTATTTTCTGGTCCAGGGAGCACTGCAGCAGAAGGAATAAAACATGAAGAATTTGGTTTTAAAGGAGCAAAACAGGCTGAGCAAGTGACGAGCATGAGGAAAAAATTTAGTTTATGAATTTTTGGTCTCAAATTCACAGCATTTTTCTGAAAAGCTATTTTATTTTTCAGATGATAACACAGTTGGTGTGCTTCACGGGTCTTTTCTAATACATTAATTAAATTGCAAAACATAGGGATATGTGGCTGCTTTCCCTAATCATTTTATGTTGTTCACTTCAGTGCGGTGAAAAATGAAATTTGGCCATAATTGTATCGTGCCTGATCCTACTGCTTCAATTCTCAGAAATGAAACATGATTCCGCAGAAGCTCTTTTCTTCAGCTGTACCTGGATTTGCTGATCTTTTCTGGGATCTCGGTGCACGCTGGGCTTTTGTCACCACCTCAGAGCTGAAATGCCGGTGTGTTATGAGAGCTGTCCAAGTTGTCCAACAGTTAAAAAAAAAAACAAACATGTTTAGAGCCCAATTTTGACTGACATTCCTGGTGTCACTGGTTGGGGTGGAATTAGATACTGGCACCATGATCCTGTATTGGCAGGCTGTTCCTTCAGTATTGTTTTTATATATTTAGTGTAGAGCATATGCTCTATGTACTTCTCCAGCTCTCAGACAGCACTGCTTCTAAGGTGATAGTCATGAATACTTGTTAATATATTTTAATAACATTTAGATCATGTTACATTACAGTGAATTGACTTGGTCATTTGGGATCTAATAAAAGCTTGCTTTTTTTTTAGTGAAGCTCCATTGAATATATTTCTTTTTCCACTTCAGTGTTTTCCTTGTGTTTCAGATCTACGTATATCTCTCTAGCTTTGATTCGTAAAGGATTTAGTACCACAGAAACATAGAATCACAGAATGGTTTGGGTTGGAAGGGACCTTAAAGCTCATCCAGTCCAACCCCCCTGCCATGGGCAGGGACACCTCCCACCAGACCAGGTTGCCCAAAGCCTCATCCAACCTGGCCTTGAACACTTCCAGAGAGAGGGCATCCATGGCTTCCCTGGGCAACCTGTTCTAATCCTATGTAAGGTTCCATGTGTGATTTTGGATGTGCAGGAGGAACAGATCTGTGCAGACAACACTTAAATTTGCATGGTTATTTTTTAGAGCAGAATTGTTAAGAGTACTTTATGTACAGGATATTGATTTTTCTAGGATGTGCTGAAAATATCACTTATTTTTAAAATAGTGCTGTGGAATGTGAACGTTGGCTGCATGTGGGGTTGCTTGGAGCGTATGTCATATTTTGCATAAATGTCCTCTATATGCTTTTAAGAGAACTAAACCTATGGTCTTACATGCTAACTAGAATGTGTATACAATTCTTTTTTAATTTGATGAATCTTTAGAGCACTTCCAACATGTGTACAGTGAGGAGAAAAAAAACACCTTCTTTGTGTAATATGTGGAATATAAACACATTAAATTATGAAATATACTTAACTCACCAATATTACAGGTAGCTTGCATATAGTCTTGGCTTTTTTCAAACACAGTGTTCAGGATTCTTTACCTCTTCTTGTTATTATTTTGTTTTTATATATGTGTGGTTTTTTTATAATTTTATTTCATTTACTTCCCTTATTTTTTTTTTTGTCCCCATCACAGTACTAGGTTTTCTCCCTTACCCTCTGAGGGAATGCAAGCCTAAATTAAGGGCTTGGATGAGTGTATCTGGACATACTGCCCTTCTCAAAACAAGGGGTAGTGGCAATAAAGAATGTGTTATCATCGATACGTGTTAGTATTATGGAGGTCTCTTTCATTTCCAGAATTGGTTATTGAAATGGTGTTCTTCTTAGTGGTAGGATGTGTATAAATAGGTGTATACATAAAAGCCAGGATGTTTTTTAGGTAAAAATGTGAATCTGTGCACCGTTTGCCCCTTTGCCATACCACTTTGATATACCACAAACATTAGCACTGATACTCAGAATTAAACTCCAAACGGCAGTTCTAAGTGAAGGCTTGGCCTGTACAAATCTGTGCCTTATCTTTGTTTGTAGGTGTAAAACGAAGGTGTATGCAGACAACCTCCCCACGACCACCGTTGTCATTGTTTTTCACAATGAGGCCTGGAGCACGCTGCTGCGAACTGTTCACAGCGTGATAAACCGGTCACCGCGACACATGCTGGAAGAGATCGTCCTTGTTGATGATGCCAGTGAAAGAGGTAATGATAACATTGAAGCCTTAGTTTCCTGCTCTTTTTACTACAAAAATTCAGGCTGATTTTCTACAGGCTTAGCTCTCCTCAGCAAAACACAGTAGTTGGGGCAGGGAAGACCCATTTTGAAATACAGGTGGGTCATTCTCCACTGAAAGCTACTGTAAGTTTATCTGTTTACTTTTCTGTTGACAGTGTAGTGTTTGTGTTTTCTAGTGGATGTACAGCTTTCAAGTTTTGCATTTAGAATTTTAATGCATTTCTGAATGTTCCTAAAGCTTGAAGGCATTTAATACTTAAATCACATGGTGAATGATAGCAAAGGCAACTCTGTTCCTCACACACATCCGAATTTACTATCACTACCACCATCAAGCCTGGCATTTGGAGATACTAATTTTGATTATTCAGTTTATGGGAAGTTAAAGTTCAGTTTCTATGCAGGAAGAGATTCCACTTTTTAATAACTAGTGCTCTAGATGAGAACTCCATGCTACAGAATGAAACTTTCCATGTGTAATGAAACTAATAGACAAAACTTGAAGCTGATTTTTTCTTAAAATAACTTTATTTAGACTTTACTTTTTATGGTTTTTGTAAATTACAGTGTAGTAGAAATAAAAATAATATTCTAGACAATACTTGATATTTTATTTCAGTTGATACTTGGTTTGTTCCTTGCTTAATTTTCCTCGGCAGTATAGATTATTAAGTGTCTCTTGAGGGTGTTTTTTTTTTACTTGTGTTTGTAAATGGAGATGAGTGTATTGTGATTTTTTTAATCTAAAAATTTTATATTTTTTTTTATTTAATCACTTTTTTCTAATATATTTCTACATTTAAAGTTTTCCACTGGGACTGATAGCTGGTAGGACACTAGAAAAAAATCTTGGCAGCCACCATTGTAGACTGTTACCTCTATCGGCAGGAATTCCCATGCTTTAGTCATGGGAGGGTGTTACAGCCGACACGCTGACATCTCTGCTTGATGCTTCTGATTCTAGTGCTGCAAAATCTATATTCTGCTGCTGATGGTATTTCCAGCTTCAGAGTAAGATGGCTGACTGTTGCCCAAACAACAGGATCTGTCCAAACAAGAGCTGTGTATGGAGACAGACACTGCATTTCAGATCATATAGTCTAAGTAGCATTATGGTGCATGGATTACATGGGTTAACAGGAGGATTTATGATATTCGATAACCATTACAATGGTTAACAGTTTTTGTAGCTGAAGAACTTTAGAAGTAGATTTTTGCTCTTCATCTTTAATGTGGTAGGAAGTATGAATTTCTTCAGGTTGCATGTGTGTAGGATGCCATGGCATATTAGCTGACGTATTGCAAACTATGTAGGTTTAGAGTACAGCTGGTTGTGTAGCAGTGAAAAAAGACATTCAAGACCCGCCTGAACGTATTCCTGTCCAACCTAATCTAGGTGATCCTGCTCTGGCAGGGGAGTTGGACTGGATGATCTTTCAAGGTCCCTTCCAACTCCTAATATTCTGTGATTCTGTGTGATTCTGTGATCATATCAGCTAACTGAGCTCAGGCAAGCCTGTTTTCCTAAGGAAGCATACATAGCTCATGCACTCAGGTTGTGTTTGCACTTTCAGTCTGTGTTGCTTTCCCCTCTCAGACCGAGAAGAAAGCTTTTGCTTTCTTACCTAATACTAACTTAACCACTTCAGCCGATTTCAGTGTGATTTGGATGAAGGGACAGAGGCCTTAAACACAATTATGCTCGGGCAGCAAAGAAGGAATGCAAGGCCATCACGTAAGCATGTTTGTTCCAGGTTAGGTGAGAGGTGTGATTAACATTTGCTTTTAGAAAGGCGTAAGATGAAATTTTCACTGTCTTCACTTGTGAGAAATTTGTAATTATACCCCACAATTTCTTGTATTTTTTTGACCTTTATATAAAAATTCGGTATATTTTTGGTTCCAATACGTGTGAAACTGCTCAACTCTCTTGGCGTTGTTCCCAGGAAACAATCCTCTTTTTAATACGGATGCTGATACTTGGATTCTGAGTGCCTATACTAGGTTATTGCACAGGTGTATACTTCCTTATTGAAACAGAGATGGCACATTTGTTTTAGTTAGTTAGCTTTTGTGCGCAGACTCTTGCAAGGAAGATAAAAGCTTTTTTCAAGTGTGCTTTGTTTCATTTGTCAAAACAGTCCTTGGCACCAATTCACATCAGTGCTAGTGATGAATTGTGACAGGTCATTTTTCAGTATGACCTAGAAATAGAGCAAGGTAATATTAAAATAATGTAGACATAATATTTCTTCTGTTTTGTCTCTTCAATTTCTGTTTTAGAAAAAATCAATTTTAACATAGCAATAGCCATGTTCTCATTAAGAAACAGAATTATGGTCCTGTTAAAGAAGCGTGTGGCTTTATCTATATAACTTTTCTGTGTCTAGGTTTGGGTTAGGTAATAAAATCAAGGTAACTTAATTCCAGGTAGAAAAATACAGCATTTCAGACTTTTTTTTGGTGGTGTCATTGAATGTGTTCCGATACTTAGTTTTGAAATCTGTGATCTTCATTTCAGATCACTCAGGCATCTTTTATTTGTAGTTATTTTCAACAATTACTGAAAGGTTTTTTTGTTTTGTTTTCCAAAAACTTGTTGTTATGTAAGCAAGCATGCTTTTACATTAAACAAAATGGAAGGGTATGATGCCTGAGAATTTGAAGAGTTTATCATATGCTACTTAAGCATTCTGTTTGTGTTGAGCTAAAACAGCAGACTTCTCCAGAAAAAGAAAATGTTCAGCCCGAGTAGTGTATTTTGAATTCTACCATCAGAGTCAGTTTAATTGGAATAAAGTAAGCATTCAGTCTGCCTGAAGCACACTTTGTACCTGCTAGTGTCATGCTCTTATAAGAATAAAATTGCATAATATCTTGCGCTTATTTACACTGAAAAGCAAAGCTTTGGAGAAACAAGACATATATGTAGCATTTTTCTCCAGTTACTGATCAGAATTCCATGTTTGGTTTTTAAGTACAGACCTTTGGTAACTAGTTAAAAAAACAAAAACAACAACAAAAAAACAAAACAGGAGAAATCAGGATTAGTCAGTACTTAAAACTAGGTCAGCACTGAATGGCCAAGCATGGTGGGCAGATTGCATCAGGATAGAATATGCTCACAGAAGTTAGTTATACAGATACAGATCAAAGCAAAGTAACCAAAACTAGATTTCTGCCAATCATGTCTTGTAAAAGTATTCACACTTCTTAAAACTGTGTTTGCATGCTTGTACTTGATCTATCACTGTTCTATTGTAGTTTAATAAAAACAAGTTTGAAACTTATTTTTTTCATTTATATTCATATAAATGTGACTCTAATAGAATTGGCAAGGTATTTTTCAACTTACGTACTTTAACTGAATATATTTGCTGCTTTCGCTTTTTTAGTTCCGCTGCTACTGCAGAATATGCTTTTTAAACTGTCCGTAGTCCTAGGTCAAATTATATACCCTTTTCATACAGAAAAAGTTTGAAAGGAATATTCAGCAGAAAGAGTGAAATGAAACTGAAGTTATGCCTCTGAAAAAACGTGCATTATTTTTTTCCCCAAGTAGAAATATTTGTGGTTTGGAGTTTTTTGTATATTATCAAAACCTCATTCTCTGAAGTGTATGAGGCCATGCTAAAAATTTACTCAGCTGTCATCCTGGATCACTTGTAAACAACTAACTTTGTAATGCATAATACTTCTCATTTGAGTGTTTAATATAGTATTTAGTATAAATATCACCAATAGTTTTGTATAGAAAATCATCTGTACCGCTTGATTCTGGCATTTCTTGTAGGCCAAAATGTAGTCCATGCATTAAAAGACTATTCAAATACTCTTTTTTTTTTAAAGAAAAAAGCAAGTCTCATCTTACAAGAAGCTGTTACCAGTTTCTGGATGAATGACTAGTCCAAAACTCTAGACTCTTGCTACTTGAACTAAAGAGCAGTTTGCTGTGTAGTGCTCTGGAGAAAAAATATGCTGCTTAGATTTGAGCATTTAGCTCGAACTGCTGAGAGCAGAGAAACACCAGAAATCTTGATGCCCCAGTTTTCTATGCTTTTGTACAGATGGGGTGTCGAACTTTACCTTTTTGCTCATTTTGGTGAATTTCTGGTAATAATTTAAGGGCATATAATGAATACGTAGCACAATATTTTGTTTCTGGAAAGACTGCCTTCTGAAGTTCTGAACAAGGTGGTAGTTAGTATTTTTATGGACATGGTTATACATGGGAGGAGGGCTGTTCTTAACTCTATTCCTTCCATAGTAAAAACACTTCTCAAATCTTTGTGACTGTTTCTTTGAGAAAAAAATCTGAAAAGTGCTCAAAAAGGTAAATGGAAAATTGAAATACTTTATATAGAAAATGTAGATAGGACTTAAGATTTTTTTTCTGTGCATATGTTGACCATGACTTTCTGTAATGTAACTTTCCATTCTGTGCTAGTTTTTAACTGGCTGTAGTTGTATTATTAAAATTTTTTTCTCTCTTCCTCCTGGCAGAATTTTACCATCCTGTTAATGTAACTGCATTCAAGGACCAATGTCACAGCCCGTGTTCATTCGGCTTTAAGTGATTAGAGCTACATGAAAAGCTTATCAGTACTACACCTACAGTGTGCAGAGGAACATGCTGATTTGTGTGACTTGCTCATGAGATGGTTAGCATAGGGAGAGATGGTTCACCGTTGTATTCTCTTAGTGTATCTCATGGAAGCCATATACGTTAAAATTATAAACATTTCCGTAATACTAGTTTTGTTAAAATAATGGCTTTTGAATGCTACACTGTAAAGAGATGAGATTATATTTGCTACAGACTCAGTCAGCCAAATGATCTCTGTTTGTGCTCAACCCCAAAAAGCCTGCAAAATGTTCAGACGTGCACACTTGGTTTGTACTAATAAGCATTTATTCATTTGAGCCTCTGTTAATATGCACAATAAGAATTAACTTGCTTTGAGTTTCTCTGGAGACGAACATTTAAGATGTATCAAACTGTTAGGCTCTTCTAGCACAGTTCAGCTTTCAAGATGTGTCAGAACTTATTTCTGTGGGTTTTAAGTGACAGTCCAACAATGCACAAAATAAAAATGAGGAGGCAATTAGAACTCAGTCATCCGGAGCAGTGGTAAGGAATGGTAATCACCCTCAGGTCAGCTCTGCCTCTTGAGATTTACAAAACAGCCTCCAAGAGTTCATGCTGTGCTTTTCCCCCCCTCCAGTGTCACACTTATTCTTGTATGAGGTACTTACTATCTTACACTAAAACCTACTACAGGCTTTGCACTGTTATAGTACAATCCTCATGTGCTTTGAGTCTATAATCTAATATATTTCGTAGCTGTGTTATAAGACTATTTTGCCTGTTTTTACAGATTCAAAACATGAAAGTTATTACAGGAGGCTGTTTCTGTGACTGTCAGTTGCATTCCCCCTCAAGTCTTTGTTCTTCCTTTGGCATCATCCATCATAGTCTAATTTTTCATGATGGACAAAAACTGTGCCTGGCAGTGGGAAATTTGTTAATTTGGCAGCTCTCTGTAACGCAAGTAATTTTGAGTCTCTAGGCATATGGTAGTCAGTTGTGGCATTATATTTTGAATAATTTTTCCTCAGCTAAGGTGAGGTTTGTTGGTATTACAGATACTCATTTATGTATAGCCGATTTTGCCTTTATTTTTGGTTTTAGGTGTTATAGTGATCATTTTATAGAAAATATATTAGCCAGAAAAATCTAGAGAAAGCACAATTGAAAAATGGATTTTGTCATGTTTTAAACAGCTTGCAAAGAAATTATCTGTAAGCTACATTACTGTTGGAGATAATTCATTATGTTCAGCTAGTTGGATAATACTCTGTATTTTCTTGGTGGATAAGTCTTCTGTCCAAGAACACTTATACATATGTGTTTAAAAGTAAGAATCACATCTACTCAATAATAAAGACTTGCCTATCCCATCTGGTTTCTGTGTAAGAAACCGTTCTACACTGTCTTCATTTTTGTGTTCCCCATAATGAAGAAATTCCTGCTCTAGCAAGTGAAAACACACGGAGATGTGGAAGAGCATATTGTGAAGCATAAAATAAGCAGCAGAGGAAGTGAGCTGAGAAAGTAGGAAAAGGATAGGAAAGAAATGGGGAAATGTCTCTTAATTCAAGTCCCTTCATCAGGAAAAGAAAAAAACTGAACTATATAACTGACTGTTTCCATGGTTTTGATCTGTCTTTGCAGACTTCTTGAAAAGACCACTGGAGAATTATGTGAAAAAATTAAAAGTACCTGTTCATGTGATTCGAATGGAGCAGCGCTCTGGATTGATTAGAGCAAGATTAAAGGGAGCTGCTGCTTCTAAAGGCCAGGTCATCACCTTCTTAGATGCTCATTGTGAATGTACAGTAGGCTGGCTTGAACCTCTGCTGGCAAGGATCAAAGCTGACAGGTAATTATCCATCTACTGGGCCATGTTGGATTTTTTGGTTATTAGGAACTGTTCCAAGTATTACAATATAACCTACAAGCATATACCCACTTTCTGAAGGGCTGAACAAATTTTCATTGGTGCAAGGATTAAAGGCTACTTCAGTAAAACTTTTAAAAAATAAAGCTTGATTTAAAGTGAAGCTTATATTGGGATGCATGGGATAATATGTTAAATAGTAGGACCCCTGAGTATGAATGGAGTTGTGAGAGCAGTGGAATTTGAGTCTTCTGTCTGCAGCTTGTCCCATTCTTTCATGAATTGGAGAAGATACTCTTGAGGAAGAAATGGAGCCCTGATCTCATGTAACACTAACACTGTGAGCAAGAGCTGTCAGGTTTACTGTTTTCAGGTCCTTGTTGTGATTTCTTTATTTTTTTAACATATTTGTATTGTGGAATTCTGTGCTGTGACTTGGTCTCTTCACGGATGTAGAATTTTCTAAACTTAGAATAGTTACTGGAGTCATACTGATCTAGACTACAGTAGCATAGCTTTATATTTCTATCATAAGTCAATATTTGCAACACTTATATCCATGATAGTGTGATGGAAATTATATTGAGAGGGGGGGAAAAACCCCATAAGTGAGAGAATAGTTTCCTTTATAAAACGTTCATTCATCTGAGCAGTAGCTCTGTAGTTGCACACTAGTCTGCTAGTAAACAACATATTAAACACACTAGATATTAAGTATGGTGTTACATATCTGTTTTATTCTTATGTTTATAGATAGAAAACACTTTTAAAATTCAATGTTAACAAAATATGATGAAAAAGCTACAAGTAATAAAGAATCTTTGCTCAGAACTGTGCTAAGACATTATATTAACCTGTAAGTTATCATTAATACACTTTTTTGCGATTATGATACATAAATTGTTACAATTTGTGGAAATGGCTCTACTAAGTCCTTTACATGTATTTGCAACCCCTGAATCTTTTTAGAGAGCTTTCTGTGAGAAGAAGCCTGAGTATGGTACTTAAATGTCTTTAAGATGACTAGAATTAGTTTCTGTGAATATACATCTTAGTAATGTCAGGACAATGGACAAGGAGGCCTCTTGACTTTGATGCAGTAGTTATACTTGGTTAACAATTACTATGATTTTTTAGTCTTGAGGGTATATAGGAATGCTTCCCCAGAGCTAATGGCCAAGTTTTAATTTCTAAAACGTGCAGGTTAATTTGACCACTTAACTAGAAACCAAAACCTCTTGATTTCTGTACAGTCACTGTGTGGCGCTGAGAAAGTGGTGATCAATTTTTTCCACCTGTAAAGGGAGGAGTATTTATTACTGCTAATAATGCAAATACAACTTTGGCAATACTAGATCTCTCTACACCTTTTTGACACTTGTAATTAATAGGTTTTGGTTATTTCGTTTTTTTTCTAGGAGAACAGTAGTGTGCCCCATCATTGACGTAATTAGCGATGACACCTTTGAGTATATGGCAGGTTCTGACATGACCTATGGTGGATTCAACTGGAAGCTGAATTTTCGGTGGTATCCTGTTCCTCAGAGAGAGATGGATCGACGGAAAGGAGATCGAACCCTTCCTGTTAGGTAATGAGAAATTATTAAATTGGTTAAAATATTCACCTGATGTTTGTTCATATCCTTTCTAGGTTAATTGTGTAAGTATGTACTTAATGAATTGTGCTGTAGCATCGGTTTTGTCTGGTTGAAGGAACAAGCATAAAAGGTTTTACCTGGATTGACTGTTGCAATAAATTAAGCAATCAGCTTGTCACTTTAGAAATATTTTTAAGTTTTATATGAATTACTGGTAAATTATTAGCTTTTAACTAGTTTTTATACTGGTGCTCTCTGGGTTTTATTGAAGCTTATTTTTATCTTTTAATCTAATAAACAATATTTTGAAAAAGGTGCATCTATTTTTTGGCACAAGTGTGTATATATTTGTGTGTGTGCATACCTATAGAAGCTTAACACCTTCAAAGTGCATGGACAGGAGGTGAATTTATGCTTGCGTACCATGTAGATGTTATGACAAAGGTAATTTACACACAACTTGTGTGTAACGTTTACTTTTTAACAATTGCAAACTTGAATTTTCTGACATTAGTGTTCTGAAAAGTGGGCAATATTTACTTAACATAAAGTTGAGTTTTACTATATTTTTGTTTGTATTTTTCATTTAAGCAATCCAGAGGTCTTCTCAGGATGTGGCTAATTGTATTCCCCTCCCTCACCCTGCCCCCACTCCAGTTTCATTTTAGGGGCAAAACACACATAAATTTTTAGTTAGATTGTAACCTTGGTTATATTTTATGTGTCTTTCAGAAAAAGCTCAAAGCATTTTGGGAAAATGACTAGTGATAGAATATCATTTATGCTAAAAGTGTAATTAATTTGTATACTTGAACTACAAAGTTATATTGACAGCCTAATATATAATTTAACTATTGTGTATTTGTTGACTAAAGAAATGGAAATTTGTGAGATGTTGCTAAAGTTAGGAGAAGCTAGCACAGCCTTATTTTTTCCTACCAATAAAGAATTTGTAAAGATAACCTGGATGTAACCCTGACTGTACAATTTTCTGGTATGAAGCAATAATAGTGAAAGCAAGCAGGTCACTTCATGGCCCCCATAACTTTTTTGAGAATACTTTCTTTTATACTTCCTTTCAATTTATACAGAAGTGTAAATTTCCTGTAAGAAACTAGTTTCTTTTTTATGAGTTGCCATCATTGGAGGCAGACGTCTTTCTCAGGAATGGCAGCAGCTTTTTAGGGGCTGTTTCTCTATCTGGACTCCAATTTGAAGTGAGAAAATAAGGAGAACTGTCACTAACTAGTTCCATCTCTGGAAAATTTTGAGCCTGCAAGTAGGTCAATGGTAACTGAATTTGGATGGAATCCTAGTGAGGAGGAACATGTTTAAGAACTTAGGAAATAAAAAGTCATTTTGTCAGTGTAAGTGTGAAATGTGTTTAAGTCTATGTTTTCATAGTGACTGATGCCTGTTTTTTGTCTTCCCCTCTACCCAGGACACCTACAATGGCAGGAGGTCTTTTTTCAATAGACAGGGATTACTTTCAGGAAATTGGAACATATGATGCTGGAATGGATATTTGGGGTGGAGAAAACTTAGAAATTTCTTTTAGGGTATGTAAAACTCTTCTTTTTTTTCAGTGTTCTATTACTCAGGACAGTGCATCTTGAATTGTGTAAAATAAGGATCTGCTGTCTGCATCTATGTCCTCTCCTGTTGCAATGAGCACTTTGCTTCCTGACAAGCCTCTCCAGTGGAGATACCCAAAGACTGTATCTGTGCATGGTGAACAGTTGCCAGAGCCTTGTGATTAAAAGATTGGAATGGTCATTCTGAAGTAGGGTTGCACGTGTGTTAAAAGGAGTTCAGTTGGAAAAGCTATTTCAGGAGCATAAGTTAAGGGTGATGGCATCAGCGTATGGTTTAATGTGTCAGTGAATTGTTAGCATCTCTGTTACAAACTCTCTCTTCTTGCTTTTTCCTAACTTAATGATTGCACGTGTTCATTTGGATGTGGACCTAGCCAGCACTGTTCTCACCTTTATTCCTACCAGAATTAACCATTTCCTTTTGTTCTACATATTAGCTCAGAGTATATAGGTGGCTACTTCTGAAGTAGTTCAGCTTTCTGACACTGCCATCTTTAGAGGTCTGAAATCAAATTGAAAATATTTTCAGAAAATTTACTTGGGAAGTGAATGTTTTGGTTTTTTCCTATGGAGATTCTATTTGATAATGGGTTTTTTTGGGCAGATCACCACCTGTGATTCATGCAAGCCTTTTCTTTCTTTCGCTTTCAGCTTGCCTAGCTCTCTAAAGTAGTTTCTTGCTGATGCATTAGTGCTGTGGGGCCTGACATACTACTTCTTTTGCTACCTTACTCAGGCTTATGAGCATAGCATCATAGAATGTATTGGGCCAGAAGGGACCTTTGAAGTCCAAATCCCCTGCAGTAAGCAGGGATATCTTGAACTAGATCAGGTTGCTCAGAGCCTCGTCAAGCCTGACCTTGAATATCTCCAGGGATGGGGCCTCTACCACCTCTCTGGGCAACCTGTTCCAGTGATCTGTCACACTCATGTTGAAGAACTTTTTCCTAATATCCAACCTAAATCTACCCTTTTCTAGTTTAAAACCATTGCCCCTCATCCTATCGCTACATGACCTTGTAAACATGACCTTGTAGAGCGTCTTTATCTGTTGAGCAGGAAACAGGCATACATTTCTCTTCCATGCAGTATGTACTTGTTCTAATCTTCAACTGATATTGTTTCTCCAATTTGAGCAGAAGCGAATTATTGATGTTTTAAAACTTTTTTTAACCGTTTGAAGCTTATGCAATAATTGTTCTGTCACTTTCAGATTTGGCAGTGTGGTGGCACTTTGGAAATAGTAACTTGTTCACATGTTGGGCACGTGTTCAGAAAAGCAACACCATACACTTTTCCAGGAGGTACAGGGCAGATAATCAACAAAAACAACAGGCGGCTTGCAGAAGTCTGGATGGATGAATTCAAAAACTTTTTTTACATCATTTCCCCAGGTGAGCAAGTCTTCGGTTATAAGAAATACCTATTAAGGATTAAAATGTTGTTACTACTTTGAAAAACATGAGTATTTAAATGAAAATGTTACTGCTTTAAAGTTTGTAAGACAAAACTGATGTAAGATGTACGAAAAGGAAGGTCTTAATTGAAAAACAACTGTGTTAGTCAGAGGTGTGCCCTTAAGTTGTGTGTTGTGGTTTGGTTTGGTTTCTTGGAAGTCTTTTTGGGTTTGGTTTTGTTTGGGGTTTTTTGTTGTTGTTTTTTTTTCTTTAAAACATGAACATGATCTATGAAGGAGCTTCATGTACAATAGAATTGAAGCTCAGTGGAACATCAGCACTACAGCAGAGCTCTTTGAAAACTGGCCATCCAGATGTGTCTCAGTGTGCTGCAGATTGGCCTTTGGCTTCTGAGTTGTAGGCATTCCAGTTGAATAGATCAGAAGTGATTTAAGTGAAAGGCTGTAGAGCAGGAGTGGCAAAAGTTAAGATCTTCTGGCTTGGTAGGATGTAAAATAGAGCAAATTTCCTATGAACTCAAACTTTCTGGAAAAAAAAAATTCAAGAAAAGAAAGGAAGCCTGGGATACACTGAATATACTTTCTGCTACAGTATATTTTTGTTGTACCAGCTTTGGGTAGCTAAAGACATCTTCTCTAAATAGCTGAGACATGAGAGATACTCAACTTTAAATACTAAGTGCTATTTCTTTATGCCACATCTGCATTTCCAAAGACTTATTTTTAAAACTAGTATTTCCTTATGACTCTCTTAATAAGCCTGTGTTAGTATTGAAACTTAAAACCTGTAATACAATGTAGTATGATTCTGAACAGTGTCAAATTTTAGAGTACAGGTTTTAAGAATACTTGTGAGAACAAATGACTGTGTGGATTTATAGTGGGTTTTTGTTTTAAGAGAACGCATTACTCAAGACTGTGTAGGGGTTTTTTTTGAATTAAAAAAACTCTTGCTACTACTCAGAACTTTCTAGGTGAAATCAGAAGGTAACAGCTTATAGTTGTTGCTCTGTGTTTTTATTAATGAAGCATTATAAATTCAAACATGATGTATATAGATATTCAGAGAAGTTGTATATAAATAGGTGCAATCATTTTTGGTTAAGGTTGCTTTTACGCATCCTTGTCAAGCTAGATTTTAAAACATACTAGGTTGCTGGAACACCTAACTATAAAAATAGCCTAATTCTTAAAAATAAATGTAAATTACTGAACACCATGATAAGGCTCTTTTACTTTATGTATAATCTCTGTAGTCCTTCCATTTCATGTGGTTACCATAAGTTACAAAAGCAGTTATACTGCTTGAATTTTGTAGGATTGTTGTTTTGATAGGATATTTTTTTTCCTCCTGTTGGAGAAAAGGAATGAAAGAATTTAATTTAAAATAGAATATGGTAAAAATTTTGAAATGGTGTAACTAACTTAAGTGTATATTCTTTTTCCTTTTAAAAGATGCATGTCTGCATAGTTTGTATGCCAATAGCCTGAATGATCGGTGGATAGGGATGTGTTCTTGCTGAGCTCCAATTAGAGCATCTGTGCCTGCTGACTGGCACACGATCTCATTTGTGTACCTGTGTCTGTATTGACACTGCAGTAAAGTTTGATGCTAGCATTTCCAAGTGTTTGGAGAATAGGATCATATAATACCTGAATAAGTTGAGTTATTCTGAAATTGGTTTGTTGCCTGGGGCTGTGGAGAGAGTGGTTTGTACTGTGGTTCATTTTAGCTGTGATATAATACCTATTGTTCAGAGAAGGAATGCAGAAATTTACTCAGTGCCACTCATGCCTCTCACCACCCAAATCTATGTAAGTTGTGAGAGGCAGTAGGCATTAACTAGACAGGATTACTATTTTGGGAAGTTTGCAAACACCTTACTGTTATTATTCTGGTATCTCCAATCTTATCTGAGTTTTGCAGACCCCAGTTTTACCTGCTAATGACAAATATAATCAGTGTATATTCCGGTACATCTTTCTGACCTGTGGTTGTCTTAGGAACTCGGTGAATCTCTGCTACATTGGCTTATTTAGCCATATGCTGCTTTTCCAGGTATCCTTCTAATAGAAAAAATTAAATACTTAGTTCTTGCAGAATAATGAATGACCCAGAATGATCCTCTGGCAGACCACAGTGTGCAGCCTGTGAAACTCTTTGCTAGTACAGTGTGTAGTTTCAATATCACTGTGGCAGCGTCACGAGTTCTTGCAAGGAGCAAGGTGAGAATTTTTAAGCTGATGCTGGTCTGCAAGCCTGGGTGCAGATGAGCAAGGGAAACAGCCAGTCCTCTGTGCACTCATGTTTTTTTCTCGTTAGTTGACATGGATGAGAAAATTGGATTTTTAAGGAGGTAATATAATGACAAGCATCATTGAGCCTAGCTAACAAGAAATTTGTTTCCTCCTTTATATCCTTTCTCTTCTGCTCCTCTAAGATAGTGGATCACAGAGGGATAGGGATTGGTCCAGGAAAACAAACCTAAGATTCTCAGGTAGCTTTCTCACTTCATGTAACAATCTGTGTTGTCTGGAAAAACAGGCTTACTGCTTGAATGGTTGGAACTCAAGAGACTTTTTTCTATTGATGTAATGTAGTTAAATGGAAAGCTGTCCTCTTGAAAAGTAAGCCTGTAATCCTTTTTTGTTTAATAAGTACAGCCTAGTAGAAATTGTTACTTGTCTGTTTTAAGCTTTCATGCATTTTAGAAGCCATCTCTCTGCCTAGAAGTGGTTGGGTACAGATGGAGATTGGGCAGGAAAGTGTTGCAGCAGATGCTGCTCAGCCAAAATCGAGCCTATCTCATTGCACAGAACAGCTATTCTCCCCGGCAGTAATGGCACTAGCTGTAGTCTTTCCTCATTAGCCAACGGTTTTCCTCATAATCACACGTTACAGTATGGTGCTGTTTCCCAGACTGTTTCCTCTTCAGCTTTCAGAAAACAGATCCAGCACGTGCAGGTGAACAATCTGATTCCTGGCTCTGGCCAGCCTGTTCTGCGGACTCTGCCACTTCTTTATGATTTCTAGCGTTGGCCTTTCATCATCTTCTCCAGTCTGAAATACTAGGATGGGATCATCCAAGGTGAAGCTTCACGAGATGGTGGTGTCAGTCCAAGAGCTTGCTGTGAGGAGAGTGCCTCTTCATGACAGCCAATAGGGCTTCGCTGTCCTTCACTTGTTGGTTGTTCATCTGTGCCAACTGATTCGACTTGCTGAACTTGTCAGGATTATTCACCCTGGGGGCTGGCTCTCTACTGGTTAAATTAGCACCTGTGTCAGCAAAGGAGGTGCAGCAGGAAGCTGAAGCTGAGCAAGGGAAAGCTGCCCCTTTCCACAGCAGCAGCTGCAAAGCATTAGGCTGTTTTACCACAGCTACTTCCCCCTGACCTTCTCCTCACTACTAATTAATGATAAACTGATGGTTGTTGATTTTATTGGTATTCTTAACCTAGAGGCAAAGTATGGATACCTTCCCCATGCTGCATGTGAGCCTGGGTTACAGGCACCCCCTGTTCCTTGCCCAGCATGCATCCTTGTCATTCAGCAGCCTCTCGCATTCCAGCTGGGGAGCTGAAGGCATCCCAAAAAGCAGCTCCAATGGGCTTGGGTAGAGCCTCATCTATGTTGTATGGAAATTAATTTTATTGTTGACCAAAAGTTTGCCCCAGAAGTTATCTTCCATTGCACTGGGGCTAAGTGGATAGGCAGAAGGCCTGAAAAGACAGCATTGTAGAATTACCTGAGTGAGAGCCATTTGGAGTTCCATCATACTAAATAAAAACAAATTTTGTGATTTTTAACAGAAGACTGCTTTAGATGAAACAATTTTTGTACTGTGCTTTTGAAAATGATTGAGCAATTTATAATAATGATGAAAACATCTTGCTTTTTTTTTTCAAAGCAGTTTAGCATAAATATATTGCCACACATTGAACTTCGCAAGCAAATCTTTAGCTCTTTTGAAATTTTGAGGGTAGCAGAACTTTTGCAACACAGCTGATGGGAATCTTAAATGTGAAGTGGCAAAGAAAATTAAACTGAAGGAGGAATATTCTACTGATAGACATCATTATATGTATGTTTTTGTAAAGGTATAAGGAAAGACAAATATTACTAGACAGAGTATTCTTCAAGAATAGTGACAGCAAAAGCAAGTGCTGAAAAGAATCTTACATTTGTACAAAATAACTGGTGATAATGTGGTTGGATGACTTGATGTGAGGGTTTTTGCTATATCAATATGTATTTTTGAGTACATCTGTAAGCATATGTGTGTGTGGGGGGGGAAGTGATTGTCCTACAGCAAACAGCAAGCTGTGTGACAAATAGAATCATCAGGGAGATCCAGGCTTTTAATGTAATTAGAGGATGGGGGAGTGGGGCAGAATAAAATATATTGCATGGTCAAGTAAAGACAACAGTAGCAAGTACTGTTAAATACTATTTCTGATTATTTTTTTTAATGAACTAAACCTAAATATTTGAAAGAAGAACTAGTGGACATGGTTGCCTTTCTCATGATACACATACCTGTAGAGTCTGGCATAATTGTCTCCTGGGAGGATGATTTGATCGAATTTGGGTTAGCTGAACCTTTAAAACCAAGTGCAAAACAACTGGAAAGTATATGTCACTGTTGTGTGTGAAATATAAATTTTACTGGTCTCTAGAGAAAATCATGTAGACGTGTACTTAATTTTTTAATATGCTTTATGTTTTGCAGTTTTCCTAGTTTGCTTCCATATGCTTCCTTGAAAGAACTGTTGCCCTTAAGTAACTGCCACTGCACTGTATAGTGCAAATGTATAGGAACACTCAAGCTAGTATTGAGTAATATAGGTAAGGTACCAGAAACCTAGGAAACAGAGTAATTCAGCCTTGTTAGGGGACCACTCCTAAGGCAACTAAACCAGTTCTGCTTTCAGTCCACCTGCTAACCTGATGCTAACTGTAGTCTGTTTGCCAGTGTACGCTTTGGTGCAGACCTGTTTTCAGAGAGGATTTTAAAAAAAACTTTCGAACTGAAAATGATTACATGGAACATAACACATGCTTTTTGTTTCATTGTAATGGAGGGAAAATCAGCTGGCACTTTTCTTTCTACATGGTGACATTTAAAACTACTTTAAGAAAGAGCACGCTTGTATCCTATTAAGCATAAAATTACATTTAATTCTTTATGGTTGTGACTTTAATTCTTATTGCCGTTCAGTGATGTGACAAAGCCTTAACAGTGTTGTTTTCTGAAGGTCAGTGTAGCAAACTGACGGATGAGTTTTGAGTGTGGTAGGGTTGTTTGCAAGGATGGCACGAGAACTGCTTCATCCATCAGCTGCTTTTTTATCTCTGAGAAATTAAAAACTGCACACCTGGCTGTGGCTGCTATGGCCTTTCTCTTATTTCATCATGCCTTGAGAGAGTGCTGGAGGAAATACTTGCTTTGGTGAAGATAGGGCAGTGTTTTGGGGTGGGGTTTTTTGTTGTGGTTTTCCTGTATTTTCTGGTTTTGGGAATTCTTTTGTGACTGGAAAGCCCTCAACTGATGTCTTCTGAGGTTCTATTGCATTCATACTATTCAAAATTGCATTTAAAAAAAACCAAACTTTCCATTGCTCTGATTCCCTTAACAGTATTGTTCTCTGGCATCTTTATTAGAAAGTCTTTAGTTTAAAACAAATAAAAATGAGAGAGAGAGAGAGAGAGAGAAGGCAACCCAAAAGCCTGGCTAGCACATTTTCTTTCTGGAATACTGAAATGACTAATGTTTTTATTGATAGTTACAAACATTTATCTGAAATTATGCAGTTATGTGTCTTAATTGAATAGAAATACACCATCTGCTGGCAGGTTGATTAATAACACAGTGTGTGAACTTCGAAATGTCTCAAACTCATTTTCAAAAGGTCAGCAGTTTTAGAGGTAGTTTACAGTCCTCTAAGTGGAGAGATTTCTGAAAATTGTATGCAGCTGGACATCTGTAGGTGTAGTGGTCTGCTGAGCCATATTTGTGGTCTCTGTGGGGAATTTAAATTGCTAGGACTTGTTTTTGTTCTTTTTGGTTTGGGCTTTTGTTTGGTTTAGGTTTTTTTTTTGTACTGCGTTGCTTTTGGCCTTTGTGATATGGACTGTAGTGTGGAAAAAAAGAATAGAACATGATGCCTTAAAACAAAAAATCCTGCCCTAAATTAATTAATATTATTGGAGTATTAATGACAGCAGTGCGTAATGCTGGTGAAACAAAAATATCTACTGATCTTGCACATCTTACTCAACCCATTTGCAGATGAGACTTGCACAAATTAATTTTCAGAAGGAATTAAAAGCCATAAAGGGGTAGGAAGATGCAGGAAGAATGTGCACTTTGATAAATGAGGAGCGAAGGAGAAAAGAGGCAAGGAAAATACCACAAAAAATGATAACAGTCCTAATGGTGAACATACTTCCTGCAAATGCTGCCGTTATATTGAACAAATACTGAATTATTAAAGGATTGGTTCCCTGTATGAAGGCTGCTCTCTGACTGTTTCTTTGTGCAGTTGATGATAAAGGGTCCAGCAGGTGGTACCTGGCTTACAGAATTGAATTACAATGGAATTCTCCTTACTCCACCAAAGGAGACTGCTATGTTATGCTGTGTAGATATACACCCCAGTTCCCCACCCCAGGGGATGGAACGGCATTAGTGACTGTAATGGTTTCAGCCTTTCTCCTGTGGTAGCTTAGTGAGCAATTGCATTCAAATCGTTCCACAAACCACAGCTAAGAAATTGCCATGTGTGGCACAGATTCAGTGATTCCATCTTCTGTATAATTATCTGGAAAAAGAAGTCACAGGTAGCGACTGACATGTCCTTTCTGAGGATTACAAACAGCATAACAGTGTATTAAAAAAAAAGTCTTTTCTTTTTGTGTCAGGATGACTTTCTAAAGAGTTGTTCATGCAAGCAGTGTATTATACCAATCACTTTTGTATTAAGTGGGATTATAGGAAGTTTACTAGCAGCCATTAAATAGAATTTTTTTGTTTTTACAGGAGTTACTAAAGTTGACTATGGGGACATATCATCACGACTTGGACTAAGACGCAAGCTCCAGTGCAAGCCTTTCTCCTGGTACCTGGAGAATGTTTATCCTGATTCCCAAATTCCACGCCATTACTTTTCTCTGGGAGAGGTAAGATTTTATCCTATGTATTTGTCTACCCTATGTAAATTACATTGCACTGTGAGTTGTTTGTATTCTCGACTGAGTAGTGCAGATTATTGCCAGCAAAGTTCCAGTATCTTGCACCTGTGTTCCTGTTGTGTAAAATGATACATCTGGCTTCTCAGTGGGGCAGAAAACTAGACTTCAGGATTCAGTACTGCAGTTTCAATGTTTTCGCTTTTTTGCTATGGTACTAAATGTCATATAGAAATATTTCTTCAGAAATGTATGGTTATGGATAACTTTCCATATAAAGTCTTCCATGTACAGTACGAGCAGAGTTTTGCTTAAAAAAACTAGACCAGGTCAGGCAAGGACTTTGTCTAAAAACTGCTTGGAACTTTACCCCCAGAACCTTCATCAGTGACCAGCAAGAGTCAGTGATCCCTGGGGGACATTTCTCTGCTTTTTCTTTAAGGATTCTGAGGTGACTGTAGAGGTAGTACAGATGATGATGTCCTAAATAAGCAGGCACCTGCTTCCCCTGCAATTCACGCTGAGTCAAATATTGAGCCTCTTATAGGGTGACTTTGTGGTGTTTGTTTTTAAAAGGAATGTTTTTAACAAAATGGAGCAGATATTTGTGCTGCTGCATGAATGTCAGGAGACTGATATTCATGCCTGCTTACTGTATAGTAATACAGAGATTAAGGTGGTAACCGAAGAGGTGAGGGAATTGAACCTAGTCACCTGTGATTTCCAAGGGAATTAAAGCCACTGTGCCTAGGAGAATGCTTTAAAACTTCTGGTGGTTTTGGGCTGGGGTTTGAATTGTGTCCGTTGTGTTGTAGCTGAGTTTTTGAGCAAAAAGAGTCCCCAGGATGGAAAGATCCTTGAAAGAAAGCAAAGAAAGAAACACAATTCTGTTACCTGGTAGCTTGAACTTTTGCTTGGGAGTTTGAGTCTCAGATAGCTTCCCTTCTTGCTTCCCCTTGTACTTGCAGGGGACTGCAACTTCCCAGATATCTGCTGGAAATATAAC